AACCCTGTGTGATGTCTCCAACCAACCCCTTGAGCGTCCGTACTCTGATACAGGGAAAGCCTCAGCCTCTCCCTCCTCTGGGCGATCTGTGACTGAACTAAAGCCAGAGGGCAGGGGCCATCTTTGGACTCAAGGACACAGGGGATTTTCTCAGGTGGCCTTGCCCTCGAGACACATGTTCCCTGTCTTTAATTTTTGTAGCTGATTAATTAAGTCCTGATGCTCTTCCTCTAACTCTATTTGTTGTTTAAGGGGAAAAAATTGTCCTGGAACTCCTTTCTGGGATCTATAACCACCATCCCCATAACGGGAGCATTTCAAGGTGGAGGCGCATACGGAGGGGACCCTTGAGAGGAGGGGCACTCAGGGTCGTAATATTTGGCCACCTCTTGCTCTAGGTCATCCCAGTCTGAATCCAACAAATCGTCATTATCCTTTGGTCATATTTTGGATTTTAATTTTGGATATATGCATTTTATCTTTTTCTTTTGAACAGTTGAGTCATTTCTCTCTTTGGGCCGAGTGCCGCTATTTGGATTTGGTTTTTGTTTCCTTCCCCCTTGGATTCTCTGGCTCTAAAGTCTGATCCAAATTTTGAGACCTATTGGATGACCTTTGAGAGGTGGCTCCCTTATCATCACTATCTAGAGAAATTTAATCTATTTCTTCCTTAGAGGAATCAACCTTTTCTTTTGTCTTTTCCTTTCCTTTCACTGTCTTTAAAATTTTTTTCACCCTCTTCAACGACCGACCACCACTATCGATGGACACTTTGTTGAGATCATTTCATTTATCAAGTTCCAATATGACAAGGCAGTAACTGGGACCTTTTCTGGCCCAAATGTCCTGTAAAAAATCTTTAAGTGAATCTCCAACACTATGCCATCTTTTTTCATCAATAGTTCCTTCTTGAGGAAACCAGGGACATAACTCTTTAATAAAATCAAAAAATGACAACAAATGCTGAATTTTCCCCTTTACTCCTCGAATCTTTAAAGCCTTTCTCATGTGCTCCACATATAGTTCAGGCTCACTTATTTCTTGCCCCATTTTCATTACTATGATTTACCAGTCTCAATGCAGCAGGTTCCCAAGGCTACCACCTTTGTTCCACTTTTGAATTTTCAGTCGACCCTTTTTCCAGTAACGTCCCTCATGGGGTCTCTCGTTCTTGCTGCCTCTCATTGGGCACCAGATGACCTGGCCCGCGGGTCAGACAATGGGATCTTCAAGGGAGAGAATGGGGATGGAGGGGCAAGAGACACAAAGAATGGAGACAAGACAGGGTGTCTGATCAAGTCTCATTTATTGAAAGGCAACTATGGGTATATAAGTACAAACAGGGGATTGCAACTGGAGACACTTAACCATGAGTGCCTTGCAGCTAGGGGCACTAAACAGCAACTCCAGGACATGTCTGAGAAAAACAAGATGTTATTAGAGTGTGCTTAGCTGTTGTAGGATGCCTGCAAAAAATATCATGCTAGAAAAATAAGTCTCTTGTCAGGGTGGAAAAGTATCAATCTACAAATATGTGGCCTGAGATGGCTGCAAAGATGATAGCTGCTTTCAGCTCAGAGTCAGCCCCAACAATGGAACAAAATGAGTGGCCATTGGCCCTTCCATGGTCCAATGTGCCAACAGTTTCGTGAAGTTTTTATAGGAACATGAACCCATGTATTACACAGGTGTGATGCTTAATTTCAAATGTCAACTTGCCTTAACCTAGAATTACCTCAGAAAAAAAGGTTTTTTGTTTTTGTTTGTTTGTTGTTTATTTGTTTTGTTTTTGAAATATATCCCTGGCTGTCCTGGAACTCACTTTGTAGATCAGGCTGGCTTTGAACTCAGAGAGACCAACCTGCTGGAATTAAACACCTTGGCCACCACGCCCAACTGAGAAGAGAGTCTCAATTGAGCCTGTGTCAGACTGACCTGTAGGAATGTCTGTGAGGGATTGTATCCTAACCTGGTGTAAAAAAGAGGGACCAGTGTGGTAATTAATCAGTCTCTGGCTCAAGCCGACTAGCTAAGCTGTGGTGGCTATGTCTAGCTCAGCCACCATGTTCTGTGGCCAGAGGCCACGTGCTCACAGCAGCTAGAACCGGCCCGCCAAAAACACCAGCCCTGCCACCCATGAGACACCAGTGTGGGAGATGGCTCTGCCAATCTTCTACGCTGTCTCTGCAAGGCTGGGCAGTGCCCAGACCATTCCACTATCCATGTGGGCCCAGTAAGAGAATGAGACTCTAATTCTTATAGATTAATCAAAGTCTTTATATGTTTGGTAATGATTAATAACAAGATGCCCATACAAAGAGAGTTGTATCCCAATTAGCTAACCTAATTATAAGTTGTTCCCCACAACTGCTCTCCATACTTGTGTGGTTCTCCATCCTCCTACATCTCTGCTCTCTCCAGCTTCTCCTCTTCCTTTTCCTCTTCCTCTCCTAACTCCTCCCACCTTAGCTCCTCCTACAGACCAGCCCTATAAAGTACCCTCCTTAGGCAGGTAGTCCTGAAAGCTAGCTGAATATTAACTGGCTCGTGAGCCACCCAGTAAGCAGCATCTCCATGGCTCCTGCCACACTTCTTTGGCTGTAAAGTTAATTCTTAGGTCAGAGTTAATTCTGGGTGGAATAGCAGGTGTACTGTCAAGTTACTGCTGTGACTTACCTCAGTGAAGGACTCGGACTTGTAAGTCAGCTAAACCCTTCTCCAGCAAAGTAGCTTTTGGTCCGGGTATTTTTCACAATGACAGAAACGAAACTAGAAGAGGAGGTTACAACAAAGCTTGGGCCTCTCTGCTAAAAGCCTCGGATGCTATCGGATGACATTCCTAAAGTTGGGGGAAGCTAGTGGTCTGAACTGTTCATACATTCCAAAAGGGACTGAAGACATGGCTCAGCTGTTAAGAGCACGCACTGCTCTTCTGGAGGACCCAAGTTTGATTCCCAGTACCTACATCAGGGAACTTCCAACTGTTTGTTTCCCCAGCTCCAGCCCAACACCCTCTTTTGGCCTCTCTAGGATCCTACACTCACATGCACACACCTACATGGAGAGACAAATTCATTCAAAAAAGTTTCACCAGCTAGTCACAAGACTATTCAGCCAGACAGAAAGGTTGGCCAGAAATACCTTTTAAGGAGTTTAAAGATAGCTTAAGGCAAACTCGAGTTGGACCTGACATACTCCAATCTTCACCATCAATTTTTTTTTTAAGATTTATTTAAGATTTGAGATTTAAATACATCTTACATTGTCGCTGTCTTCAGACACACCAGAAGAGGGCATCCGATCCCATTACAGATGGTTGTGAGCCACCATGTGGTTGCTGGGAATTGAACTCAGGACCTCTGGAAGAGCAGTCAGAGTTCTTAGCCACTGACTCACTTCTCCAGTCTCACAATCAAATTCTGTTCAGTTAATCAGACTTTAGTAGGTTCAATGTAAAGTGTGGTTTTCTTCCATGTACTTTGGTTATTTGTTAAGAGTTCTATGAACTCTTGCTGGCCTAGAAAGAACTGTGTAGACCTGGCTGGCCCTCAACTCCCAAAAATCCACCTGTGCCTGCCTCTGTCTCTCCTAGGATTGAAGTCTAGTACTGTCAAGCCTGACCCAGGTACTTTTGATAGGGGTTCTTCAAGTGCACTGGAGCCTTTCTTGGTTTTGTTTTCTTGGCTCTATGTTGAGGGGCATGCAGGAGGAACAACAAGCAGCTTTAGAACGAATGGAGGGCAGGCCAGAGTATTGCTCTGTTGTTGCCCTCACATCCCTCTGAATCTAAGAACTGTATGGAAATTCTAAGGAGCCTTCTAGCCCCTCACTGGGCAATATTACTGGCACACACAGTAATAGTGCTTGATCTTTTTCAGGCACTGCTGCTGGAGCAGATTAATCACCACTCTAGGAAAGAGCTTAGAAATGTAGATTGTCAGCAGTGATCACCACCCTTAGAAAGCATTTGGAAAAGTAAAATTGGTAGTGAAGCTAGGTTAAGATGTTTTTGCTAGTGGCTCTGATGCAGAACGTCTTAAAGAACAATTTGAAGTTCAGAAAAACACACTTATTAGTTTAGCTAGAGACTTTTTGAGATCAGGGAACACGAACAGTGGCAGAACAGTGACAGCACAGGCATGACTCTCTTGCTAAAACTGAGTGAGGGGTCAAGATAATGAATTTCTTAGACCCATTTTTGCCCTCAGCTTCCTGATTTGATTTAATAAATTGCTGATAGATACATGTGCAGTTTGAGAATTTAAAGTAGAAATGACGTTACAAAACCATAACACCACTTATAAAATTTAGCTCAAAACGGATTAGAGAACTCTACTTAATAATAATAATTAAAAAAATCTCACCTTTACCAGAAAGCATTCAAAAAAAATTGTCACCTGGAAGTAGGCAGATTCCTTAAATACATCCCCAACCCAAAACAAAAAATAAAAATAAAACCAAACAAAATAAAACCTACAACAAACCTCATGTGTACTAAAATAGCTTAAGATGCTAACCAAAGTCAAGTACCAGATCGCCCACACCCCGCCCTAATATGTCACCAGGGTTCCCTGTCTCTCCGCCCTAGTCTCCAGTTCGCCCATTATCCAACCCTGGAATTCTTGCCTGCTTGAATTATCCACTTCGCCCAAAGGCCGCCCTCGAAGCCCTTGTCCCGCTCAAACCCCGCCCTATCTCCCGAGTCCCGCCCCTCAGACGTCTAGTCCCGCCCAATCCCCACCCCCAGCTCCCCGAGTCCCGCCCCTCTCCCTGCTCCCGCCTCCCGCTCGCGGACTCCAGCGCCGGTAGTGGCGCGTGCCCGCCTGCGTCCGCACCCGGAAGAGCAGCAGCGGCCGGAAAGTTGAGGCTGTGCGCGCGGCTCGGGGTCCGCGGGAAGCACAAGTTCTTCAGAGGCCGAGCGAAAGCAGCCCGAAGAGGCCTGCGCGGCCCCGCGCAAGGCGGCCCCTCGAGCGGCCGCGCGCACGCCCCGCCCCCTCCAAGGCCGCGCGAGCCGGGCCGGGGTGACCACGGGAGCAGCGCGGCCCCGGCGACCAAGACAGTGCGTGTTGAGCCCGTAAGTGACCGCCGCAGCCTCGGGCCACGGGGATCGCTTCCCTCCCGTGGTTGGCGTCATGTCTCGTCCGCATCCTTTAGTTTCTCAACTCCCCGCGGGGCTGGGAGGCCACAGCCAACCACCTGTGGAGTCGAAGCGAATTTGGAAAGCACCCCTACGCCAGGCTCCCGCTTGCCAGGCGGCCTGGAGGCGCGCAATGAGCGCGCACCCGCGAATGGCGCGCAACGCGGGGCTGAGACGCGCGGCCCGACGGGGCGTGGCCACAGCTCCCGAGGGGCGGAGGCTGCGGGAGCCTGGGTACGGGGCACCGCTCTATCCCCAAACTGCTCTTTTTGGCGCCACCTTGCCGTGGACCTTACGAAATAAAGCAAAGCCATTTTATTTGTTTGGGTGCCAAATACTCAACAAGGGAAAAGGAGAGGCAATTTGATAGTTGTACACCCCCACCCGATCCCCCAGACAATACTGTATTGGGATGCCTGCGTTTATGGGTTTGCAAACTTGTCTAATTGCACGGATGTTGGAAGAAAAAAAAAAGCTGTATTTAAAAAATATCGGCCCATTTAACACTGTCATTTGCCGCTTTAACTAGGCAAAAATTTAACCTGCCCCTAATACGAACTTAAAATTCTTCGCCCACCCTCTTTCTGCTTTGCTGGAGTTGGGTATGTTGTTATTGTTGTTTCACATTGCTACGTTTCCTGCTCTATATTCGTTTTGTATTCGTAAAATCTTAAAGATTTTCCTTTAGTCACTGTTGAGGGTAGGGCAGTGATTTTTTTTTCCCCCAACAAAGATCCACATCATGGAACACTATGACCCCTTCTCCAAATGCTCTCTTTTTTTACTCTTGGCTGATTGATTATGCTATGACCCAACCAAAGTCAAGTTGCTTAGTATTTTAATGTTGGCCTACTTTCACTGATCCTGTGAAAGACGACTTCTCTTCATCTCATACTAGTCTCCTGTAATTGTCAGTATGTTTGGTTTAACTGTGATGTGACTTTATACCTCTGGTACCTCCTAGCTAAGCAGGTGTTCAGAGAAGGCAGAATGTTGCTAATCAGGAGCCAGTGTGATCCACCTGAGGGATGCCAAACGGAACTTTGAACGGAACTATATATAGCCTTCTTCGGTCACAGGATTTGTAGAGGATGATATATGTTATATAAATAACTACAATAAAAAGCACGTCTTTGCTCAGGTGCTTCCGGCTAGTATGGAACGCCCATGGCTTCTTCTCTGGTACCTGTCAGCTCATTTAAATTGAATCTCTCTCTTTATTGTGTTCTCTCTCTCTCTCTCTCTCTCTCTCTCTCTCTCTCTCTCTCGTGTGTGTGTGTGTGTGTGTGTGTGTGTGTGTGCCTGAATAGTACATGAAACACATGTGTGTTGCCATCAGTGGCCAGAAAAGGGCATCAGATTCAGATCCCTGGAACTAGAGTTATAGACAACTGTGTGCCTTTCCTATATTGGTGATGGGATCTAAATCCCGGTCCTCTAGAAGAGCAACAAGTGTTTTTAGCCTCTGAGCCGTCTGTCCAGAACCTTCCTCTCACTCTTACATTACCTTTTTAGCCTCTCTAGAGTGGTTTGGTTTAGATCCGTCACTTGGGTCTCAGAGGGATCTGGTATCTTTTACTATGCTTTTTCTTTCATTTGTGAGGATACTGGCGTATGCGTGGTAGACAATAGGAAATGGATGTAGATTCAGGCTTAGGATTTGTGATTTGACTGTGCATGTGAACATTTCCTTGTTTGAAAATACACATTTGAGAAAGAAAGGCTTGCTCAGAGAGTCAAATAAGTGAAGTACATATAATATTTCTTTGAAGTCTTATTGTCAAAACGTAATGCTCCCTTCTTTTGTCAGTTTCTCTAACTTTTCTGCACCTTTAACAACTGTCCCTATGCTAATAAGAGAAAGCAGGAAACAAATTTACTGCTGTGTACAATCCTAAAGCAAGTCAATAGTCATGGTAGAACTATCAATCTAATTAATAGTATGCTTTGTTTATGAAGCTGTGTGTTTGTGTGTGTCTGTGTGTGTGATGATGATACATGACTGTAGTCCCAGCACTTGGAAAACTGAGGCAGGAGAATTGCTGCAAGTTCAAATCCAGTCTGGGCTACATAATAAGTTACAAGTCAACCTGCCCAGCAGAGTGAGATGCCCTCAGAAAACCACTAAAGGCATGAGGGAGGTGAGGCCCAGAACTTGCTATGTTAATAAAGGGCTAATGAGGAGAAAGATTTTCAGAAAACATGAGAAATACTTTGTGCTATTTAATACTTTGATGATCAGTATCATCCAATTCCATGAATTAAAATTAACTTCACTATTTGTTTGTTTTTAAGAAAACACATTTACAGTCAAGATCTGTAATTCCCTTGTGTACATTAAGCCGTGAATTCCCAGGGAACAGGGTCCAGGGGCACAGGCTCCTTCCCACGACCTCACACAGCATGCTTCTCTGGTTTTGGTGGGCTGCTGCTCACGTTGAACCCAGGTGCCTCTCTCATTGCCCCCAGCTCTCATTATTTTTTTTTTTCACCGTTTCAGGCATCTGTCCTGCCTCTTAGAGTGCACAGGATGCTCAGAATGCACACTAATCCTGGAAAGAACCTTACCTTTAATGTGTGTGTTTACAATGGTGCCATCAACATGCTGACACTACAGTGTCACTGCGTGTGTGTGTGTGTGTGTGTGTGTGTGTGTGCGCGTGTGTGACAGACAGGAGAGGGGGAGGGGGAGAGGGAGAGAGAGAAAAAGAGAGAGAGAGAGAGAGAGAGAGAGATATTATGAGTGCACGTATATTATAACATCTATGTTGTGGTCAGAAGAAACTTTGGGGCATTGGTTCTTGCCTGCCACCCTGAGACAGGAGCTCTCTCTTGTTTCTGCAGTGCACTACCTAGGATAGTTGACAGCTCCAGCTACTGAGCAATATTCCCATCACTACCACCCATCTCTAGCACCTATCTCAGTAGTAACACTGGAATTGCATGTGATGTGTGCTACTGCCCAGCTGGTTAAGTAGGTTCCAGGCATCCAGGCCTGGGTCCTTAGGCTTGTGCTGCCAACACTGAGCCTCCCCTGTGGCCTCAACATCACTGATTTTGATTTTTTTTTCAAGACAGGGTTTCTCTGCATAGCCCTGGTTGTCCTAGAACTATCTTTGTAGAAACAGGCTAGCCTCAAACTCACAGAGCTCCACCTGCCTCTGCCTCTGCCTCCTGAGTGCTGGGATTACAGGAATGCATCACCTTGGCCTAGCAACTTCACTGATTTTTAAACCACATGTTTTTTATAACTACAATAGGTAATTCATCTATATGTAAAATTGGATTCAGATGTTATGTTGTGAGTACCTTGTGACCCAAAACTAGAATCTTTTTTGGTAAATTGTGTGTAAAGCTTTAATAGCAAAGGTATAATACCATCCTTTTTCTCTTTTTAGTAACCTCGGCTCGAGATGAATAGTGACCAGGTCATACTAGTGGGTCAAGTGTTTGAGTCCTATGTTTCAGAGTACCACAAGAATGATATTCTTTTGATCTTGAAAGAAAGAGACGAAGATGCTCACTACCCAGTTGTGGTTAACGCTATGACCCTTTTTGAGACCAACATGGAAATTGGAGACTATTTCACTGTGTTCCCCAATGAAGTACTAACAGTTTTTGACAGTGCACTTCGAAGGTCAGCCTTGGCGATTCTGCAGTCCCTTCCTGAGCCCGAGGGATTTTCTATGAAGCAGAATCTTCATGCCAGGATATCAGGTGAGTCATAAGCATGGTGTTGGAACGTAATATTCTGGGAAGCTTTAGATAAACTGTAACACACACAGGATTCCGAGCCCTAAGAAATAGTTGTTGTTCTGCAGCTCGGCAGGTGAGTGTGCTTGCTGCCAAGGTTGACAGCCTTCGTTTGATCCCCGGAATGCATATGATGGAAAGAGAGAACTGAGCCCCAAAAGTTGTCCTCTCACCACCAAATGCACACTGTCACAGGTGTCCGTGCACACACACACATGCACACTGTCACAGGAATTCATGCACACACACACACACACACACACACACACACAGTCACAGGTGTCCATGCATACTCACACACATGCACACTGTTACAAGTGTCCATGCAAACACACACATGCACACTGTCACAAGTGTCCATGCACACACAGGTGCACACTGTCACAGGTGTCCATGTACACACACACTGTCACAAGTGTCCATGCACACACACACACACACACATGTACACTGTCACAAGTGTCCATGCACACACATGCACACTGTCACAGGTGTCCAGGCACACAGACACACATACACACACATGCACACTGTCACAAGTGTCCATGCACATACACACACATGCACACTCACTAAATAAATCTAATTTTAAAAAATGATAGATGTTTCTATTTAAAGTACAGATAATACTGATTGTCTTCTGGGCATAGGATACTTGCCATGCCAAGCTCAGGGAGGGAGAAAATATGGAGACATCAGTGTACTTGTATAAAATTGTAATCTAAAACAGCTTTATGTGACTACTAACAATAGAATATTGGTAAAAATGGATTAGAGAAGCTCCTGCCCCATGATTTTCAGAACTACTTTATGAGGTTGTGTTTTATATATCACAGTGAGGATTGTGCTACTTCATGTGACTACTAACAATAGAATATTGGTAATGTATGGATTAGAGAAGCTCCTGCCCCATGATCTTCAGAACTACTTTATGAGGTTGTGTTTTATATATCACAGTGAGGATTGTGCTGCTCAGCTCTCAGGAACTCGACACATGCTTGTTGAGTACATGGTGGTGTGTGCACATGTGTGCATGCTTGTGTGTGTGTTCACATGTGTGCATGCATGTGTGTGTGTGTGTGTTTGTTTCTGCATGTCGGTATGTGTGTGTGAGAGGCCAGGCCTCCATGCCTTACCACCTCAGCTTTTTAAATAGAACAAAGATTTTGGTTGCAAATTGTCAGTTTTGGTTAGTGTTGTGTTGCCTTTGTCTTTTTATTATAAAATTTAAGCAACATAATATGAAAGATAAAGAAATCTTTGTTTTTGTTTGGTTTGTTTCCTTGTTTTGGGTTTTTGTTGGTTTTTTTTGGTCGGGGAGCTCAAGATAGGGTTTTTCTGTGTAGAACACTGGCTGTCCTAGAGCTCTATAGACCAGGATGGCCTAAGAACTCAGAGATCCTCCTTCTGCTTCCCAAGTGCTCGGTTAAAGGCATGCACTGCCACCAGCATCTGTCAGGAAACCTGAGTATTAAGCCAGGTGTTGTGACACACGCTTTGAATCTGAGCATACTGAGTTCCAGAGCAGCCAGAGCTACAGAATGAGACCATGTCTCAACCACCTCTCCACCCCACCCCTGCAAAAAAAGAACTTGGGTATTTTATTTCCAGGAATTTGGATATAAGAAGTAATTTGATTTCTGAGTATTGAGTTGCCACTGTTCAGAATATAACAAAACTCCGTGTGTGTGTGTGTGTGTGTGTGTTTGTGTGTAAACACGATACAGTCTGAATTAATACTAATAATATAGAATATAGTCATTCAAAAATAGGCAAGTCGGGGCTGGAGAGATGGCTCAGCAGTTAAGAGCACTGACTGCTTTTCCAGAGGTCCTGAGTTCAATTTCCAGCAACCACATGGTGGCTCACAACCATCTGCAATGGGATCTGATGCCCTCTTCTGGTGTGTCTAAGAGAGTGACAGCATATAGTGTATTCATATACATAAAATAAATAAATACATCATTAAAAAAAATAGGCAAGTCATCCTAGGAAACACAGAAGAAGGAAGCAGGAAGGCGAATGTTGGGAGTGCCTACTTTGTCTATATAGTATCTGGCGAGAGAAATGACTGTCTATACAGTATATGGAGAGTCTAGCCAGCTAGCAGAATAAAGTCAAATCCACCTGGAGACCTGTCACCCATTATGCTGGGTTCAATGTAGCCCCGTATCTCAAATGTCTAATTTGTGTAACAGATCTGCTTAGTTTTTCTACATCAGGTAAGATCTTGTCATGAAGCCCAGTCATGCCTGTAACTTGAAACCGTACTGCCTCAGCTTCCTGAGACTGCTGGGATTACAGACACACACACACCCTGATTTGATTTTTCCTAAGCTACCTTGTGATTATTGCTGTTGCTGCTAGGCTTTCAGAGTAGCTGTATCAACAGACCAAAAGAGTGCCGACCCAAGAAACTGAAGCCACTATGGTATTTACTATAGTTATTTCTTACCAGCTCAGCAGATACAAAAGATCAGTCTTTACAGTTACCAACCAGATTTATACTTGATCTTAGCCAACAGACTGAGAAACAATACTTACTACATTTTTTAGCCACTAAATTTTAGAATGAGCATCAGCCAGCAGAGCAAACACTCCTGATAAACCCATTAGAAATAACCTTGACTAACAGGACTGGCATGTTTGCACCCCAGTGGCTCATGGTTTTTGCATAATATTTTTTCTTTGGCATATTCAAACCTTTCAGTTGCTCTCTTTTTTTTAGTATTGAAAAACCATGTGTTTTTGAAAGGATAAAGTGATAGTGTGGATAAAGTTCTATACAAATCAAAGCTTGAAAACAGTCATATTTAAATTCTGAATCTGAGGAAAATGGACCTGTTGGTCACCATGATACCATCTCTGTGGTCTGCTGAGTAATGACTAAGTAAGTTGATCTTATGTGTGACAGGTAGAAGAATTTTGTCCATGAATACACTTAGTTGTATATTTAGGTGCTACTGAGACTCTTCATGAGAGCCTATCCTTCTTAGCCCTGATGGTAGTTTCTAGAGATGTGCTTTCAAAAGAATCCACTACTTTATGTTGTTTGAAATCTGTACTCATTTTCTTAATTGGGTTGATGATCTGATTTGTTTTTTTAAAGTACAATACAAACATGGTCATGTGCTTGCTGTCCAGCCATAAAGTCCTGAGTTTGGATCCTTAGCACCCGGGTATAATCCTGGGTATGGTAGCGAGCACCTGTCATCCCAGCACTCTAGAAGCAAACACAAGAGAGTCCCTGAGACTTGCTGGCCAACCAACCTCATGGAATTGGTGAGCTCTAGGTACAGTGAGAGACTTAGTCACAAAATACAATGTGTATAAATAATTTAGGAAGGTACTGGACATGAGTATCTGGTCTCTGCACATGTGTACCTACCCCCCACACTCATACACAGTAAAGTAAAAATTAATACATAAACATTTCTCCCCTGAAATACAGTATTTTCATAATATTTCATTTTATAAATAAAATATTACAATATTTTCTGGGAAAGAAATAATATTGTGTGGAATCAGCTATCAAAGTGTAAGTTGATGATGTTGTTTTTCATTAGGTTTGCCTGTTTGTCCAGAACTGGTCAGGGAACATATTCCTAAAACCAAGGATGTGGGACACTTCTTATCTGTCACTGGGACAGTGATCCGAACAAGTCTGGTGAAGGTTCTGGAGTTCGAGCGGGATTACATGTGTAACAAGTGCAAGCATGTATTCGTGGTGAAGGCTGACTTCGAACAGTATTACACCTTCAGTCGGCCATCTTCCTGTCCAAGCCTGGACAGCTGTGATTCCTCCAAATTCACTTGCCTTTCAGACTTGTCTTCATCTCCAGCCAGATGTCGGGATTACCAGGAAATCAAAATTCAGGAGCAGGTAAATGATCAAGTCAGTGAGAAAAAAATAACCAGTTTGGACATGTTTTCTACTACAGTCAGATGGCCGGGATTAGAGAATATAAATTGGTCTTCCACTTCACTTAGTGGAAGACCAAAGTCAAAGCTGTCGAGTGTATTAGAATGTAGGTTTTAGAGACTGTGCAATCACTGTTTTGGAGCACTGGTGACGTTTTAGAACTACTGAATTGTATTAAAATTTTAAAGTAAATATTGGCTCTAGAGAGATGGGTCTGGGGATTAGAGCACTTGCTGCTGCTCTTGCAGAAGACCTCCGGTTGGTTCCCAGCACACACATGAGGATCCAGCGCCCCCCTCTGGACTCTGCTGGCACTGCATGTGCATGATGCACAGACATACATGCAGGCAAAACACCCATAACATAAAGTAAAAATAAGTACGTGAACAAAAAATTTATATTACATATTCTAAACTAGCTGCACTTAGGAATGTGATAAAACTCAGTTTAACTGATTGTCCAACATTGGCAAGTACAGAGATTGACGTTTGGTTTTTAACAACTAAAGAGGAACTTTATTTCCTTTCCTTAAATCAAAGGTGTGTTCTCACGTAAATAAGGAGATAACATAGGCAGCTCGGGGCCAGCTTGTAGGCTCCTCAGTGTGGAGTTCTTACACTTCATCTTTCTTATCCCTGCAGGATTTGATTTAAATAGATCTTACTCAGCCCTTGCTGACCTGGAACGCCCCATGTGTGGGAATACCTTCTGTTTGAAGCTGGCCCTGACAATTGCACCACTATTCTGTACTCATGTCCTATGTACTGTATATTCAGTCTGTTGACTTTAAGAGACAGTGTAGTCAATGTCACTCTGCTTTGGACTCTGGTATACCTTTTTCCTACCTCTCCGTCATGACTCAGTTCATGCCTGATGCAGAACAGTGTGGTAAGATGTGGCAACGAGACCTAAGACCATTCACTGGAAGTAGTGAGGTGTCGAATGCAGTGCCACCCTCCTCATGAATGTTGAAAGTTACAGATGCCCATGGATTGATAATATCTGTCTGTAGCTTTGTGTGTGGTTCTGACACAACCGGGCCAGAAGAAGTTTCCTTTCTTGTGAGATTCCTGTAAAAGGGTAAGATAGGCGTGCTTCGTTCCTCTTACTGTTCCATGTCTGCTGTGCTGTTCACTTAGTGGAGAGGGCAGCCTTTGCTCAGGAGTAGAATTCCGAATGAATCAGAGCAAGCCAGGCCCACTCTTGGGTAAATGATAGCAAAGGTCACATGTTTTTTTTCTTTTACTTTCTGCCATACCCTGCCACAGCACACATCCCACGCTGGCCTCAGACTCCCAAGTGCTGAGGTGGAGATTGTAGAAATATGCCACCATGCTGGGCTTGTCTTACCATTCTTGATACGTACCTTCTATTCCTGTGGTGGTGTATGGTCTAAAATGGTGGCTTCCATTCATGACACCTGTATTCTAGTTAGAAGAGTGACGAAGGAAGGATGCTTATATGAACCTACCCTGTAATCAAGTCTTGTCAGCCTGCTATTACATGATTGCCTGCATGCCATTTGCCAGGACTTAGTCTTACGACCACATCTAGCTTCAAGGGAACTTGGGAAACAATCATTTATAAGGTCATGTCTATGTGGAATAAAGCCAGTGATCTGTTACTAAGGAGTAACCCCAGGGACTGGCTGGTTTTCCAGATCTTCAGGCTGGAGATTATGAAAGAAATATATCTTCATTGCTAAATAAGTAGCTTTGTCACCAAGTTTAAGTTGTTGGAATATGTATTGGTTTTTAACCACCTACAATGTAGATTATAGATTATAGTTGGAGATATTCCTCATATTTGATGGTACAGTTTTAGTCTACTTTAGTGAATTCTTGTATTTTAGTTTAATTTTGTGTATTTGCATGTGTATTGATCTCTGTGTGTGAATGCCCACAGAGGTGAGAGGGAGGCAGGTCAGATGGAGCTGGGGTGACAGGTGGTGTGAAACTGGCCTTCTGGAAGTACGGGAAGAAATTGTGACTGCTGAGACATCTCTCCAGTGCCTAGATAGGATCTCCCTACATTGCCCCAGCTGTCCTGAAACTATGTAGAGCAGACTGGTCTTGAACTCACAGAGATCCATTGGCCTCTGTCTTCCCCGTGCTGGGGTTACAGAAGCACACCACCACACCCAGCTAGTGTTAGTGAATTCTGAAACTGATATCAGTCATCATGTTTAATAAAAATTCCTTAAGTCTTATCATAATCAAACTATATTATACTATCCGAGAAGTGGAAACAGTTTTAAGTACTACCATATTTTGGGATCTTTAGCATCTGCTGAAGCACACTCACTTTCTTATCTTTTCGTTTGCTAGGTGCAAAGGCTGTCTGTTGGAAGTATCCCACGATCTATGAAGGTTATTCTAGAAGATGACCTAGTGGACAGTTGCAAATCTGGTAAGCAGTTACCTTTTAGTTTTTGAAATGGCAATTCTGTTAGTTTTGAACTCTTAGCTTAGTCTTGAACTCTTGGATGTGTGGTCCTCAGCTCCTTCCCTCTACCCCCACCCCCGACCCCACCCCAGAAGTTGGGACTGTAGATGGGGGCTACTGGATATGGCCAGCAAGAGTAAACTTTTGGTAGTTTGCATAGGAGGCTCTGAACAGTCATTTATTTTTATTTCCCACAAAGTTACTGACAAGGGACTGAGGGCATTAAGTGGTCACCCTGTGAAGAGTTAGGCTTAGAGAGAGAGGAAGGAGGAAGAGCTAAGCTGGGGCTTAAAGGTTGCCTGCTCCTGTTGCTGGTCCTTTCTGACAAGGAACTAGACTTACCTAACACCATTTAAAGAACTAAGCAGCAGGATTGTAACATAAATCCAGATCACTGATATCTGATCCAGGGCTCCCTTCAGTGTGTCATGCTTAACGGTGTCATCCTAAAAGGGTTCTGGTGGATTTGGCAGCCAAAGACTCAGGACATCCTGAGTCCTGTCAAGTGCGACTAAAAATCTTACTGATACATAAGCAAAAGGAGTAATTGTTTCTCACTGCTGTGTGCTGCTGATGACACTGCAAGCGAGTCACATGGGTTTTGAAAAAGAATATTCAGTAGAGAACAGTGTTTCCCTGTAGTGCATTGAACCTGAATTCTGTCTACACTGCGATCTTAAGCCATATTTCTTTCCAATGTCATTCATAATAAAGGGCAGGTAAGCAGTATGCTAACAGCTATTTGCCTCCTTACCCTAGCTGTAAACCTAAGAAATCAAAAGACAGAAAATGTGTAATCCTTGCCCTTCAGGAATTCACACTCCTCAGAACAGTGAAGTGGATTGCTGTGCTGACTGATTATGCTAAAGATCAAAGTGATGGATCTGCTGGGGATGCCTGAAGGACTACAGATGCTAGGGAAGGGAGGCTCATAAAGAGATGGCAGTGTTGAAGTGGAAGAACTGGAGCTTCATGAATAGTCTGCATATTAACGATAGGAAAATACAAAACTTTTAAATGTATGTTCTGTTTCTGTGAACTTCACAGTTACAATGATCACATAAATCTGCCATTCAAACTACTTGCACACATGAAACCATTTATATCTTTAAGTATTTTAAAATGTTCTACAAATGCAAGGTAATTTTAGTATAATAACACTGAGCTGAGATTCCATTAATTTATATGTGTACATATATGATCCAATTTTCATTGTAGTATCATGAATAAGTCAAATAATTTGCCCAAGGACAGTGGCAGTAAGATTTACATCCAATTCTAATGAGATTGTTATTCTTGGCCACTCTTACTGTTTTCTATGTAATCACTGTTTGTAGAAATTGATTTTTACTAGTGGATACTATATTGAAGTTAAGTTCCTCCTTTAATGATTGTGGAAAGACCCTCAGTATAATCCATTAGAGTGAAGATAATAGGGGTGTTTCAAGTAGGTATGCACTGAAACTTACTTTAGCTATGTTTATCTAAAACTTTAATGGGGAATACAGTAAGATGCCATTATTCTAGATTGACCTTGAAAGGTGAATGAACATTCTTGGAAACACATATGTAAAACACGATTACTGTGTTTGTCTGCATTTGGCATGAAGTTGCATTTAGCTAGAAATGTGCCTGTTAGTGTTTACACTAGCACCACTATTTTTATGTGGCTAGTACCTAATGAACCCTTCTCCAGGAAATCAAAAGCTCTGGAGAATACACATTACTCACAGAGATTTAGAGAATGAAAGGTATTTTGTAGCACAAAAACATACATGGCTGTCTTGGGCAAGAAGAATTGCCTGCTGCATGGTGGTATTTCTTGTGTAAAATATAAATATCAAGATTGGGTTCGAGATCTATTCAGCATCCTGCATTCAAGATTGTGGGGAAAAATTAGAGGGGGCCGCAGTGGTGAAATCCAGGAGGCTTCCGCGGCGGCAGGCCCCAATGACACGAGGAAGTCCTTGGTTCCAGAAAGGTTTATTGTCATGGCGGATGGTGGATGGATCTGGATGTACCCCCGTAAAACTCAGGGCAGTCCCGAGTTAAATAGGGAGGGAAAAAAGGGGAGGATCGGGGGAGGATCTGGGGAGGCATACTTAATTTGCTTCGCCCTCTGGCCTTCATTAGTATGTAAATCCCTAGGCCCTGAGGCCTCTAGTCACACCCTCTACCTATGCACTTAGGGAGGGGCTGTAATGGCCGGTCTACGTGACTGAACAATGTAATTCTATGGAGACAAGACTGCTTTTCAGGACCCTGGGTTCTAGGGGCGCTCCGAACTCCTGCTGGTTCTCGGGCAGAATCTTGGGGTTCTAGGCAACTGCCCAGCCATGACCCAGAATACCCTTACACAGTCCCACACAAGATGACTGAAATTTAGGGGGACTAAGTTTATGAAATTTTTGTTTTGTTTTTGGTCCCCCATTTTATATTCCTAAAATACTGGATGTGACAAATTCTTAAATACTTGTTAAGTGACATGCTGTATTATATGTATGTGGTATGATCACAGACATCAGGGATTAGTAAATGTACCCAGAAGCCGCCTAGCGTCTCTTCAGAGAACATAGAAGTGTGGTCATTTGCCTCCCAGGAATAGGTTTTCCTCAGGTAGGAAGGAACAACTAAGGAGCAAATTGGTTGTTATTGGTACATAAGAACAAGGCAAACATTTTTAAGGCAGTGATCTTTAACCTTTTTAATGTTATAAACCTCAAAAGTAATATTAAAATAAACCATCTTTCAAAGAGTGAAAACATAGAACAATATCGTAAACTATTTGCCAAGACAGTACAAAAGTCATATGAAAATCTTCTTTCAATTCAAAAGTATCGTTTGGAGACCTGCTTCCCTGGCCTGATCATATTACATGTTGCTGCCCTTAAGCAAGATGGTGATGAAGCCATATCCCAAAGTCAAGATGGCGACCAGTCACAGGGGCAGTGAGCAATTTGAAATGAGCAGGCTGATCACCATCACTGTTGGCAATCTCACGAAGTTGGCAGCTAATGCTGGGGCCAGGGTTACACAAGGACAGGAGTGAGGTGGCAGTGAGAGGTGAGAGGGTGGGGCTGTACTGTGCCTGGAGCCCGTGCTCAGTGGAAAGGGGGTATTTTCAAAAAACTGGACACAGGAAGTTCAGACCAATTTAAGTAAAATTTTGATTTAGATCCTGTGGCACCCATCTTCCCAGCATTTGCTGGAGATACCAACACTATGGAATTGTCGTCCTAATTGATAGTCTGTGATCTAATGGTTTATGGGGTGGGGTATAATAAGATGTCTCTGTATCAAAGCCCCCCCTCAAAAAAAAAAGAAAACTAAAGGCCTGTTCTTTGATTGGGTGTGGCTAACACTGGCATAGCCACAAATCGCAGAGAAAGCTCGAAGGGTCCTGGATCGTAACAGGCTATCTAGGGATGGATACTCACAGACTCTGAAGAAATGATGTATCTGACAGAAAGATGGGGGAAGAGAAAAGGACTCCATGTGGCCAGGAAAGACCTAGGCCATTGGGCTGGGGACTCAACTCCTCTCAGGTTCAGCCCATCTGACAAGTTATCTCTCTAATGGTGAATAAGCCAATTCAAGCCAGATTGTATTAAAGGCAGGTTTATTGAAAGCTGCTCTTGGGCAAGTTCACCATCCCCAAGAATTGGCGCCAGGGAAGTTGTCATGGGGGGGGAGAGGGGTAGAGAAAGGGTGCATGCACAGAGAGAGAGGTGAAGAGACCAAAATGTCTGGATTATATAGAAAGAGCCTCTGGGTGAAGGGCAGCCCAGCCTCTGGGCTGGAAAGTTCAGAGTTGGGAGAAGGGGATGTCAGGTAGGGGCTGATGCTAGAACCTGGATGTTAGGTCTGCTCTGACATGTAAACTATGCACCTCAGTCCCTTGTCCTGGGGTCTGAAACCAGTCATTTTATGCTTTGAAGTAGAATCAATATCCACTGATCTATTATCGGTCATTCCTTCATTGGAAAAAGCAGGAGACTGAGTAAAATATTAATAAAGTAAAAAGGAGCACATAAGAAACTAAAGTACGGGCTGGAGAGATGGCTCAGTGGTTAAGAGCACTGACTGCACTTCCAGAGGTCCTGAGTTCAAATCCCAGCAACCACATGGTGGCTCACAACCATCTGTAATGAGATCTGATGCCCTCTTCTGGTGTGTCTGAAGACAGCTACAGTGTATTCATATATAATAAATAAATAAAAATCTTTAAAAAAAAAAAAAAGAAACTAAAGTACATGCCATCCAGCACTAGAGCATCTACTTTCCTGATTCCAAGCTAATGCGGTTTCAGTTTCTGGCTGATTAGTTTCTGAGAGAATGAACATGTCACCCAACATAACAGGGATAAATTATGACTGGTCCCAGTAAAGGGTATTAATTGTGTGATTATTATGTAGCAGATTTTTTTTTTAAATGCTGACTTTAACTTTACGTATTCAGAAACAATTTATTGTTTTAGGGGCTAAGGTTTGGGGTGTGTTTTAACATAAAATTGGTCATTGCTTTCTGAATGAACAGATGTACTTGGAAACAGAAAGTATGTGGGCAGCTAATTTCTAATTTCTGGTCTTTTGAGAACCATCTCACTGTGCATGATATTCCTGCTGGACTCACTGGTGCTTTCCTTAGGGGATGACCTCACCATCTATGGGGTTGTAATGCAACGGTGGAAACCCTTTCAGCGAGATGTGCGCTGTGAAGTGGAGATTGTCCTGAAAGCCAACTATGTCCAAGTGAATAATGAGCAGTCCTCAGGGATGGTCATGGACGAGGACACTCGAAAAGAGTTTGAAGACTTCTGGGAATACTATAAGAGTGACCCCTTTGCAGGTGTGTGATTAAGGACATAGGGCTCATCATAATTTACTACGTTCGACTCAGCACTTAAATGGGATATGACTTGCAGGCAGCTTATGTGATGTGTTAAGACAGTGTGGCTTTGTTGACGGTTATCATTTAGTCAGTATCTTCAATAGCAGTCTTCAAGTCCATTTCTGACATTGAAATTTTGTTATTTCGTGTGTGTGTGTGTGTGTGTGTGTGTGTGTGTGTGTCTGTGTCTGTGTCTGTGTGCGATCCTGTGGGCACGTATGTCAAAGCCAGAGGTCAATCTTAGGTTATCCTTCAAGAGCCATCATGTGTTTGCTTACCCCCACCTCCAACTCGCAGAAACAAGTTGTGTGACTTGGACAGACGGCTATTATTTTAGGCTAGCCTCGATGGTCAGTAAGGCCCAGTGGTCACTTGTCTTTGTCTCCCCTGACTTGGGATTACAAGCATGTGTGAGCATGCCCAGCTTTTCATGAGTGTGCTGGTCAGTCCTCATGCTTTTATGCATTAAGTACATAGTTTTCTAGCATATTTCCAAATAAAGACCATGTTAGCTGAAGATTTAAAGTAGGGGAAAAACTGAGGGAGAGATGATGGACAGAACACATTTGTCGTCATAGCATAACATTGTGAGCTTTCGATGTATTACATAAAATAACACACCACAGCCTTGGGTTTAGAAAGTATTATTTATTGAAAAAAAACCCACATGTATAAAACATGAATTAAATCTTGTTTTCATTTTTCTTTGGAAGTTTCTCAAGAAAAATAAACTTTATCTCCAATCTAATGTATATTATTTTATTCTCAAGTCACAAGCTAAACTAGACACTTGTTTTACAAAGTAAGGCTTCCATTCGTCTATATATGGACAGTTTGCTTTTATTTTGTGGGATTTTTTTTTAATCTTCCAGGTCTAATACATACGCAGCATTCTCTGATCTTCCTTTTAGTTAATCAGTATAAAAAGGAGCCCAAAGTTCTCTAAGCTGTGGCTTTATGTACCAAGTACTTTAAAAATCATCCATTTTTCAGTAGTTTTTTGACTGAGCCGTTGTTAGGTTCAGGTCCGGGGAAGACGGCAATGCTTCTCAGGACCGTGTTCATTCCTTATCCATTCCAGTGCCCCAGCTCCCCTGCCTTCATCACACTGCACTCTCCCTGGATATTCCCAAGTCCCTGTGCTCATGACTCAAGACCTGTCTTGTAATTAGAAAGCTGTAGCTATGCAACTCATTTGTCAGATAAAGAGTGAATTAAGTGTAATAACCTTGTAAGTTAGGAAGACACCATCCAAGTCAGGCAACATTTCTTAGTATGAATGAACTATCTATTTGACCATTTTGAAGTTGTACGTGCATCTTGCTGGAGTGGAGAAGAGAAACTGCATCCAAAGGGCATCTCTCTTTTGCAGCCCAGTGCTGTTGTTCTTGTCTCCTGAATCTGCGGGGACTGATGGGATCCCAAGCATAGTATTTGGGTCTGCTGGATCATTTGAACTCATATTGTGCTGACCCAATTATCTTATACCAGAAGGTTTTCTGTAAGATAACAGAGGGCCATGTTTAAAGAGGAAACTTGGCCACAGACACTATGACAACATGGTCTGAAACCAGAAATTTGGAGGGGACTGAATGCATCATGTTCCATTACAAAGCCATGGAAAAGGGAGACTGTAAAGAAGAAAAGTAGAGGCTCTTGCACAAGACAAGCACTGGGACCTGTGTCTAGGCAGAACACTGACCCTGTGCCCTTTACCACTGGAATGTGGCTTTTGCCAGCATGCGATAGTTCTGGCTGAGCTTTGCCTACTCTTAAACTTGGTTCTTAGGTCCATTCTGTTTTTATGTGTAACCCTTGGATTTTAATCAGATTCTCAAGTCTTCTTGGCTTAGAGCCCTGACCTGTTTTCTCTAGGCTTTCTGTCTAGGAAGAGAGAGTCCCTCTACTAGTAATGCACTTCCTATATTTTCTACATCATCCTTCGGGTTTGCTTTTAATCAAGGGTGTTCTTTCTTTGCTATTCTTGCTGTTTTACGGCTCATCACCATTGGGTACTTGCCACTGAGTCAATGTTGAGCCACTACAGGATGGGAAGTAGCTCAGTGGTTGGTTCTATTCCCCAAACTAAAAGATTGGCTCATTACAAACAGTCTTTGTACATGAGTTATTAAGCAAGGACAGGCTCAGGGAAAACTCACTGGGATCTTGTCGACTGATGAGACCAGTGGCTGGATGAAATACTTTATTTATGAATACACTAAAATGATTCCCAGATTTGTTGCTTTTATTTAAAGCACACAATTGGACTTCAAGATCCTCACCTTGGATTACTGGAGTTGTATTTTGCAATGATCTTAATATACTGATACCACAGCAACTTATTCCAAATAAAACAATTTCTCAAACAATCAAGAACACATGCCAAGTCAACCTGCAAGGTGAACTAACTTTGCTTCAGAAGCTCTGCAAGCCTCTGCTTACCTCTATAACAGACACTAGTTATTACAGTGCTGAATTTCTGAGGCTATTTTCCTTCATCTAAGTAGTGGGGTGGTTTTAGTGACATTACCAGAGAACATGGCTGCTTTATGTTAAGGGATAGTGCTGTTTGATAGCTACAAGTTGAAAGAGAAAAGGAAGCTCTTTTTTTTTTCTTTTATTTTTTTTTAAATTCAGTTTGACAAATTTATAGAAACTTGAGTAGGTAGTACTCAGGAAAGAAACCACTCTTCTTTTCATGGTACTAAATCTGAAACCTAAATGAGGCCAGTGCAGTATGGTGGCACCACTCGGGAGACTGGGGCAGGATTATACATTTAAACCACCTTTGGCTACTTTGCAGAACCATCTCAAAAACCAAACTGAAAAAGAAAAGCAGAATCTAAACAAAGCTCCTCATTCTCTTTTCTTACTTGCCTTGCCTTCTTTATCATTTTAGATTAGCACAGAGTGTTACAAGAACATGGCTACAGGATAGGGAGGGAGGTTTCAGGTAGAAGTCCTAGAAAGCGGTAACTTTTGATCTTTCTCACTTCCCAGGAAGGAATGAGATACTGGCCAGCTTGTGTCCTCAAGTGTTTGGGATGTATCTAGTGAAGCTTGCTGTGGCCATGGTACTGGCTGGTGGAATTCAAAGAACTGATGCTGCAGGAACAAGGGTTAGAGGTCAGTACCTCCTGATACTTTCAGAGAAATACTACCATGTACAGGGCAAGGGCGAGCCTTTCTTTCTTGAACAAAGCCTGCTTGTTGGAGGGTGAGTTATAATGACACACATTTGAACATGCCCAAATAAAACCCATTACTTAATATACCAACTTCAAGAAAATTAATTTTAAAAGCTGCCTCTAGAGCTGTTTTCTAAATGTAGTTTCTAATTGGATTTTTCATATTTAGTCTGTATCCATATTTATCAGAGGCTACTTTCTCTAATCCAGAAAGATGAAAGAAATCACTAAGTTTTTTAGTGGCTATATACTACAAGCCTGTAAAGGTGTCACAAAACTAGCTCCCTTGGAGGGAGAGGGAGAGTGTGTCTTAATGTCTCCAAGCTGGTTTCCATCTGTGACTGTCAGCTGCTACACACAGTCGTCTGCCTGCTGATTTACAGCAAATATGCCATCTGCCAGGAGCTGCTGCTGTAGGTCACACTTGAAGCAAAGACTGCTCTAAGTGTGCAGTACTATCTGGACGGCAGAAAGCTCCTGTGCAGCAGGCATGGCACGCACAGAGCTGTAACCACAGACCAAAACACTGGTACTCCAAGCCAGGCTATTAGTACAACTCTAAGACCACATAGTACAGAAGCAAATAAACAGAAGCATTTTGTAAACTGTGTATTTTGATCATGTGCTATCTCCAAGGCACTTTGCTAAATGTTGAGCTTAAATAATGGTTTCTTATTAATGTATTTATGAAATACTTATTACTAAAGAAATGTTTTTGTCCAGTGAAAATATCTGCCTTAGGACAGGCATGTGTCCATTTCTATTAACTGTGAAATTAGAGTACCTGGTCATTTTAAGGTAGACATTCCACTAAGCTATTGAAATTTACATAGATGAAAATGTTTTTATTCAGTTAACATAATCATAATGGTTTGATATGTATAAACCATGTATAAAATCCTCAACATTTAGAAGTACTTTAAAAAATAGAATAAAGCCTTATATGACTTGTATGGATAGCTTTAATCACTGTAGTTTGGATTTAAAAATAGATACAACCAGAAAGTTTTTATAAGTCAAGGATTTTTAAAATGTTAAACATGGGCCTAAGCATCTGGAAATAGCACATACTCTATTAAAAGATTTTAAATTTTAAATGTCACATTCAGTAATCAAAATTGCTGTATTTGTGACAGCTAACTTTTCTAAAGATTTTTCTACTTAACTCCTTCCTTGAAAAGCCTTGCATAAAATATATCAAAAATACCACATAAAATGTAATTTCTTTATTAGTTGCTTGTTATTCATAGATCCTTCTAAAAGTTTTGAAGTTTTACATTTACTTTTTCTAGGTGAATCTCACCTTTTATTGGTTGGGGATCCTGGCACAGGAAAATCACAATTCCTTAAATATGCAGCAAAGATTACACCAAGGTCCGTTTTGACCACAGGAATTGGATCTACTAGTGCAGGTACTATATGATAATTTTATATAATTTAAAATTAATATAGAAATGAACATAATTACTTCCTTATGAAAAAGTAGCTGTTGTAGGATACATTTCAAATTAGTTTTTAGATTTTTCAAAGTTACTGCCAAAAATGGAAGGAAACGTAACATCCTTTTTGTACAATTAAAAAGATAGTTCAGAAAGGTCCATGTCCTCTGTATTGAACTTAGTTTTATAGGAAAATGTAAAGATGTCATTTTATAAAGATCTACCAAACAAAACATCAAAGCAGGGAAATTCATTTACAAAGTAGGTAGACAGGATATAGCTTAAGGCATTTTCATGGACAATAGTGGCTCCTAATGACCCCTCTAAGGGAAATTTGTGCATTTAGAAAGCATATTTTCACAGGTGTACTACGAGATTTTGTTCATATATTATAATAATTCTACAGCAAGTACATTACACACAGACTAGTTATGACAGGAAATTTAGGGAAAATTATTTTTTAAAATATGTCTTGATGTTTTCTACTTTTAGTTTTGATTATTTCTCTTGTTCTAAAAACAGGAGTTTGGTTTCCCATATTTTGTTAGTGTTATTACATGTTAAGATACCCTCACTTCTGTAGTCTTCTCTCAGAGTTCTTATATAATACACCTTTAAACTCATGATAAAAGAAAAATATCCCAGTGGTCCCATCTGGGGACTTTAAATGCTGTATTAATAAGTGTTGATCAGATGGGCTCTGTGAATTGACATACCACCGCTGTACACTTTGAAATCCTCATGGCCAAGTGTGACATTGTGTAATTACATGAACTGATTGCCAGTCAATCATGTGGAGTACCAAGCACTGAGCCCATGCCATCTTACAGGCCACTGAGCCCATGCCATCTTACAGGCCACCATTACTGAGGACGTATTGCATAGACAGCTCTGGCTTCAAGTTGTAGTGACAATGTAAAGTGAATATTATTCCCTCATTTCAGATGTCAAGATCATAATCCAAAGGTGAGAAAAAAAGTAGTAAAGATTTTGTAATTGTAGAAACATTGGTATTTCTTCCCCACTCAAAAGATGTCAGTGGCCTTTGACATTCTGTGATCAGTTAGAGTCAAGCTGCACACGGTAAGGGCAGCAAAGGGCTACTTTCATGAAAAACTTACTATAAATGTAGACTTGTATTCATGGTCAGATGATATTTTACACTATGGATTATGATAGAAAACGTCATGGTCTTTAATTTCTGTATTACTTTTCGTTTACTTCTTTTGTGTGTGTGCATATATGGAAGTTAGATGACAACTTGTGGGAGAGTTAGTTTCTACCGTGTGAATCCTGGGTATTGAATCCTAGTAGTCAGGCTTGGCAGCAAGCACCTTACCCACCGAGTACCCACGCTGACAACCCCCATAGACGTTCTTAGTAAAACTAGACCCAGAAACTATAAGATAAAACAAACAGTAACAGAAGTGAAGGGTCAGACAAGGTTGTGAATGAGAAAATGCATGGATGCCTCCTCAGATTTCTGAAACGCTTCCTCAACTCAAACAATACCATCATAACCTACTCACCTAGCTCTTCAGCAGCATGAACGGAGTGTATGTGTGTGTGTCTGTATGTGTATGTATTCACCAGACATTTATTTACACTGGAATCAAACGCCTTTAATCCCAGAACTCAGGAGGCAGAAGCAAGTGGATATCTGTGAGCTGAAGGCTAGCCTGGTCTACATAGAGAATTCAGGACAGCCAGGGCTATACTGAGAGACCGCATCTCAAAAATAAGAAACGGAGTGGAGGGGGGCAGTCTATAATCCTTGTATCTATAATTCGGACATTTCTTTTAATGAGGCTAACCAGGAGGAAAATCCCTGCATGCTAGTTTGTTTCTTAGTTCTTAATGTTTAAATGTTTCTATTATTATTCTTTTACTTTTAAATTCTATGGAGCAGTAATATTTAAATAAAAGGCAGTAGTTTTAGGTCTCAAACTTTTGTGACAGTGGGCCATATTTAAAAATTGAATAAAAACCTAACCATATAATGTCATTACAAAGTGGTTTTTATAATTAAGACTAAATACTCCAGTGAAATGCTTTACTTGGCGATTTAGTTTATTTCTAACAAACTTATTCTTACTGTATTGATCACTGAACTCTGGTTTTAACACTTTCTCCTAATTATAGTTAGACAAAATGAGATTTTTTTTCAATCATTTTAGTAGTCAGAAGTAATTTATTTTTAAAATCTATGAACTGGGTAATGGATAATACCGTAATAATCTGGAGTCTTAAATTTCAAAGTTTAACATTTAACAAGACTTCGTTTCACAAATTTTCCTTTTAAAATAGCAAGAAATATACAACTTAAAGAGTCTGTATTTAAACAAATGGCCATTCCTTTTCCTCAGAGTGCTTTTAAAAGTGCAGTATAAAAGCTCAGATGGGAAGGCACTGCATATATCGTATGGCTATCCTGTGCATCATCACCAGGAATCAAATGAAAATATTGTACTGTAAATTTAACGGATCAAAACTTGGGGGAAGTATTTATTTCTCATTAAAGAAAATAAGCTTTTGGCCCATTTATTTGGTGAATTTCTTTCTAAAACTCCTCTTCAGGAAAAAAGTCTGGAAAAGATGTCTAGATTATGTCAACTACAGATAATGCCCTGATCTTACACATTAATGAGAACCAGAGGATATGGGGTAATATGGCTGCAAATGGTAAGACAAACTTCCTAAAGTAGCCAGCCAGGATAAAGCTAACTAGACCTTTCTGAATCATCCTCCTTTAGTAGTAGTGCCAACAACACAAGGTCAGCGGCATTTCTGTAAACGGAAAGAAAGAACAGATCTAGTCATGATAACGTGATGTACTTTAGAGACTCTAGCCACGTTGGAATCTCTGAACAGTGATGGTTGATGATCGTGGTGTCTCGGTTTCAGATGTAGGGAGGCATACACCAGTCAGGACTTCAAAGGCAGCCACAGTTGGTAATAAGAACTAGAAGACCAGTGGAACACAAGCTGTGGGGAAGATGTACTGGGGTGCTCTAGGAAAACCCTGGTGGTATGTAATTGATTTCAAATCCCATTTTTACTACAGAAAGGAAGTTTTCTCCTCAAATTAAAGGGACACTATCTTCACAGGAAAAGTCATTTTAGTTGAAGTAAACTTCGTTCTTTTAAAGGCTAGTAAGTATTATTGCCCAGGAGGCTAACACACCTTTACAACCTGGTCTAATAATTGATAACTTTTCTTTTTATAAGTATTTTAATTACATATAAAAGAGAAGAAAATAATATATATGCTTTAATCAGATTAGTTTCATGAACAAATAAAATAACACATTAGAGAAAAAAAAGTACTTAAAAATAGTTGTATTTATATTCCACAATTTGCTCAAATACTGGTTTTCTTATAAACTTTCTACAGGATGTTTTTAAACAAATTCTTCACATTTCACGTTGACTATGTACTTACGGAACTTCAGGGAAAGAGTTCTGTTTTTAATAGCTTAATCTGTACTAATGGGATGGCACGTGGTCACATGCAGTCCATGTGGGATTCTAACATAACATTGAGTGAGTTTTCTGACGTGGACCATCCCTTTGACGCTGAAGGTAATGCATCTGTTGAAAGAAGGGACTGTAGATTTGGGTTACTGCTCTCTGCATCTTCCAGTTTTTCTGTGTTATCTTCCCAGTTAATGTGGAATCTTGTGACTCGGGGATTAGATGCCAAAATATTCCTTTGAAGCTAGAAAGAAAAACATTTAAATGGTAAGCACTAAGAAGGTTAGATTACCAAGTGAAGCACTCAGGACCACAGTAGCAAACAGTAAAAGAACTATTATTAACCTTTGGAAACAAGGTAAGCGGTGCTGACACGATAATCTATCAACATATTTCACCTCCCAACAAAGAGCCAGCTTTATACTTCTTCCTAAAGAATAAGGGAGGGAACGTCTTCTTGTACACCTGTTAGAGGAAGTTTTAGTTAAGTGAGTATGTCTTTAGCCTGATGTATTTTCAGGTTGGGGATATACTGCATACTCTGGAAAAGTCCCTAGGTTCAATGCTAAGCACTAAGAAATAAAATACAAAAACCAGACTTCAAATGAACAATTCCCCCAAACAGAACCCCTGATTATTGGGATCCAAGCAGTAACATTAAATCTCAGTTTCAAAACAGTATTGTATTCTACTTTCTTTTACTGCCATACAAAGAGTCTACAAGGGGTAACCCTGGTTCAACAGGTCTCCAGACTATGAAAAGCATCCCGCCCTCACCAGCAGAAAGGAGAACTATAGTCTGTGGAAGAGTACCACAGTCAGTTTATTTAAAAAGTCACCAGTACTAAACCCCTTAACCATTCCCAGTGGAAAAATCTAAAGGTTTTAAAGAAATGTTTTTAAGACTATTGAATCAGATTTTAATGTCTCAGAATTTAACTTGTTACCATCAGAAATACTTAGGAACTCTAGTTTAACCTTTAAGAATAGCAGATAGGATAAATATGTAGACATTCTAAATATTAACGAAAATAAGCACAAGCATGGTAACACCTGTAATCCTAAGACATGGACATCTGAGGAAGGAAGAATGCCATAGTACAAAGCCATCTTGGGCTACAGCAGTCTCAAAATTTCTGCCAAAGAAATGAACAACAAAACCAGGTTCATCTTGGCCATGATTTTGGAAAGAATCATAGGCAAAACTATTTTTAGTCATGTCACTACAAACATAAGACCTCACAGGTCCTCAGGTGAAATGAAATCCCTAATGGTATAGAGAAACAAAGGCTTGCTTTTGCAGGAAGCCCTTCCATTTTATTAAACCATCAGACTCAAGGTACCCACCTAACAGTAACTTGTGGGGAGGCAGGGTGGAGGCCATCCATGCAAATGGAACAACAATTAGTTTGTTCAAGTGCTACAAAACTTCAGATCTGCTTTAAGGCCATGTTCATGATATACTATGAAACAGCAACCCCTAAAAGCTGGATACTACAAGTAATTAAAGAGTAAAAGTAAGAAAATTACCTTAGAAAAGTCTGGTTTTACTGGTGGGTTTTCCCTTAATTCTGTTTCAGTATATTCATTATTTACATAGTAGCCAACTCTAATAAATTCTTGACCTCGGTAGGTGCAAGTAATCAGTACAACTGTTACCCCCACTGCGTCTGCATCTGGGATGAGCCCTGCATTCGGTGCATCAGCCTAGAGTAATTTAAAAAGAAACACAAAAAGGCTGTTAGTGGTAGGTATAGCAAACTGAGCATTAATTAACCTTAGCACTACTTGAAACTGTATTAGTGGGGAAGAGGCAGAGTCCTGCTATATAGTCTTGGCTGGCCTCAGATTCACTCTGCTTTGCCTCCTGAGTGCTAGAGTTACAGGTGAACACCACCCCACCTACCCAACAAATGTTCTTTGGTGAGAATTGGCTTATACCTAGAAAATAAGGTTAATGTTTCTCTCTAGTAGTACTGGGTACCCTTAGTACTTGCAGGCATAATTATAGCTAAAGAGAGAAATAATTGCCGGGCGGTGGTGGCGCACACCTTTAATCCCAGCACTTGGAAGGCAGAGGCAGGCGGATTTCTGAGCCCGAGGCCAGCCTGGTCTACAGAATGAGTTCCAGGACAGCCAGGGCTATACAGAGAAACCCTGTCTCAAGAAAGAAAGAAAGAAAGAAAGAGAAAGGAAGAAAGGAAGAAAGGAAGAAAAGAAAGAAAGAAAGAAAGAAAGAAAGAAAGAAAGAAAGAAAGA